CGCAGTAAACAGCGTAAATATTAGCCATGAAATGTTTATTCACCTCAACAGAACGGCGTCTTCTGCGACTGTTTCGCAACCTTTCAACTCGCCAAAAACTTCATCTTAAAGCTTAAATGTTCAGCTTTCATTCGAAACACTTCGTTTACCGATAACTGAAAAGGGCGCCTCAAAAATTGAGTTTTGGTTTTAAGTGTCCGGATACTGGTACCGTCCGGATACTGGGCTACATACTGTAGCCACTTGAGTGGGTGCATGCGGTTACTGTTTTCGTTCTTCAGTTAATACACTTTTCGGCAACATACTCCTAAAATAAGCTTTACTCCTTGAAATGTTTCTAAAACTTACTATTTCTGGCAAAAACATTGGCAAAAACGATTCAAATGCCCGGGGGGGCGGGGGACGGGTACTCCCATACATTACCTATACGGGTATGTGCCGCCCAACGGGGTCGTGATCTTAAAGCTCCTGGTTTAGAAAGGGGTATCCATTTCAGAGGCGTTTTCTAGAACGGTGTATAATATTTCGAACGCATGAAAGCTCCAGTTTTGCAAGCAACCATTTGAAATTATTCAAGGACAGATTGCTTTTAAAAATACGGCTCAATGCGTTACTGAAGCAAACCGTTATACTCTTGTTGCACCCTAGAACGGAGTATAAAAAATTGGCCCATTTCTAGAACGAGGTATCAGTTTTAGGGCAAATTCTAGAACGGGGTAGAAAAAATTGCCCCATTTCTAGAGCGGAGTATCAATTTTACGGGAATTTTTTTTTAGAACGGTGTGCCAATTTGGAGTCCCGGGCGGCACATACCCACCCAAAAAATACCCAAGTGCCCCCCCCCGGGTTCAAATGATTCAGCTATAAGTCGGAGAGCTTCCTGTTATTGACATCTCAAACTCCAATGAACAGAATCCATTTCTTTTGAGCCCTTTAAATTGCAGCACCTACTGTTTTGAGGGTAAGGGCATGTTACCGTTTGCGTCCTTTATCGAAGCCTGTAATGACAGCCATCATTTCATTGCAAACAGTGAAAATAGCACCCGACAAAAAATCTCCTAAAATAGTTTTGATACATTAATCTCCACATACTATGCACATTTAACCTAATAAATTCATATCATACTAATATTATCATGAGTGACACCATTCATCTTTGTCTGTTTTCTATATCGATCATCATCACCAGAGGAACATATCTTTGATAGAATAACTGTCATTGGTGTTACGTCCTCTTTGAACAACTTGGTCATGTTGGCAAACTTGTTTTTAATGTTTCGCTTGCGGGTTGCTGCATGAAGCAGAATAACTGGAGAAAAATTAAAACATTTTATGTAATTACTTGGCTGTGCCAACTTTACATGTCAACCTAAAATGGAGTGGAATATTTATTCTAAAAAAATAACTATGAAAGTTTAAATTCCCCTGCCAATTACTGGCAGTTTTATCCAATAATTCATTAGCTATTCTACACAACAGTTCGCTAAAGTGCACTAACAGAAATGTCCCTTAAACGTCTGACGAGCAAAAACTTAAAACTTCTCAAACTGAACCAGGAAACCTGAGTCTTTTTCTCAAGGGTAATGGTTAATATTGTAGATATATATAGATCGAACTCAGGCCAATATTTAACACAGTAATAGATGTGTAGACAATAATGACAGCCAAAGAAATCCTTTCTGTCCATTTTTACCAATCATATACTTTACTGTTTAGTAAGACCATGTGTCAAGTGGCTGCTTACCAGAGGTTAAAAGCGATAGAAAATTCTTAAACTGTCAGCCGAAAAAGTGGTCGTGGTCGCTATTCACTGATTTGGTAAATACTAAACTAAAACAGTGGATAGTGTTTTTTGCGTGCTCTGATTCGCTACTCAAACTTGGAATATGCAGTGCTATTCACCTCCAGGCCAAACCAAACTCATGCAAGTTACCAGAAAAATGGAACCCGGTTTGCTGCCACAACAAACAAAGAAATTTCACAAATAAATGAAGCTGTTGCTGAAAAACATGAAGAAGGTAACAAAAATTGCTTTGGCAGTTTTTACGGGTAGCTTTGTCTGTTTAACATGAATTTATCAATGAAAACAATGAAAAAGTTATTTGTTTACAAATGTAAATTATATACCTGCCAACTGTCATGCCTTGGGCGTGAGTTTCACGCCTGCGGGTTGAAAACTTCGATCTCACGCCGGCTCACGCTTGCGGGCCAATTTCTCACGCCTGATTGAAAAATGTGAGTGGTTGCCGTCTTGCTTGACACAATTTTCAAAAATGTGTTAACTCAGACCCATGTAAGGAACGAAAACCATGTGTAAAATGAATAAATAACAATACCTTCCTCGCGATCTCTGATTTTTGAAGTGAAAAGCAAGTGAAAACTTCGCCTTCGACAGACTTTGGACGTCTTCAGAAGACTTCACGGACTTCTTCGGAAGACCTTCGGACTTCTTCGGGAATCTTCGGAAATGATCGTGTCGTCTTCAAAAATCCCAGCACTCCCAGGATAAAAATCTCACACTTATATCTCAGGAAAAGTTGGCAGGTATAAAATTAAGACTTGCATTACTATATTTAGCTGACATGTTCATAAATCACTTCAAAACTAAATTAAATGTCTTTGTTTTTGCAGAAGAGTTTCAAATAGAGAAAGTATTTACAATTCTTTTGGAAGAAAGTTTTATTTATTGGCAAGAAAACATGACTGCCATTCGGTCAGTTGGGCACCAACCCTTTAGTCAATGGCATCCATAAATAATTTAAAAATCATCATTTTGGCTCAATTATCTCAGAGCTGGTTTACATTCTTTAAAGATTGTTGTAAAATTTACTGGTTTATTAAAATAATTATCTGTTGACATTCATAGTATCAGAAGCTTCAAGCTATGGTTACAAACAGCTGACCAAGTAATTTCTTGATTCCTGAATGACTGGCATCATTCAACAGTATTAAGGATGCTGAGGGGGTCATAAAGTGTCTGTATTAACAGGGTGTCAGTATTAAGCAGGTTGAATTTAGAAAAAATGCAAGGGCTTTTTTCCCCAGGGACAAAAAAAATTCTATAATGAAGTGTCCTTTAAACAGATGTCCGTGAAGTGGGGTTTGACTGTATTAATATTTCCCAGAAGCTTTAGGAGCATCAATTCACCTACCTGCCAGAGGCATAGTCACTCCCCAAAGAAAAACAAGCGTGGACCCCAGTGCGTAAATAATCAACACAGCAAGACCAAGCACAGAGGCAGGAACCAAAGAGGGGTACTGACGCTTGATCTGAGCGACTCTTGGTTCATGACTCTGTGCGACTCCAAACAAAATGAAGGTTGACAACAGGGAGATTGTACCAATCATCAGATCCTTTGGATACATAACCCTGTAAAGTGAAGTAAAGATCAGTGGTGGGGAAGGTCAACAGGAACAGATGTACATGATTGATTAACCTAGCACTTGGGTCTGCATAGTGGGAAAAAGGCAAAAATGGGGTAAAACAACAAAAAAATGGGCAAGCCTTCAAAGTGATCCAATTTTTTTTTCGCCATTTTCCACCACTGCAAAGCCAGGTCCCAGGCTAGTGTTTCATATGTTTTAAAGGCAACTTCATTTTTCCAGTAGTTTGGATAACTGCTTACAGAAGAGAGCAAGGTAACAGAATGGGTAGGTTCACAAGGACAGAAGACCCATGCAAGGCCATGTGGTTGCCCATGGTAGGGGTGCAAAAGCCATCTTAAAATAAATGGAACTGTTAACTGTTATTTCAAAACAATAGGTTATTGTTTCAGAACAAAGGCTAATTAAGAGTCCAGGCCATTAAGGCCTACATTCCCCACACTTTTAAACAGCAAATCTCCTTCCATTTGACAAGGTAGGACAAAGACAACGCCAACAGCTAAATGTCACTACTCCGTGATGTGCTCATACAAAGGTGTAAATTGATAATCACAGCTCCTGGTTGCCTATCTTACCAGTTGATATTTTACGGTTTACATTACATCATAGAATAATAAAGAATCACTACTTGACAAAAATAATACTCTGACGTGATAAGCAGCTACTTGCACAGGAAAAAATAACAGATTCCCATTTTTGGATGTTTTAGGGTATTTAAAGAATACCCACAAAAATCCCAACTTTGGAATAGTGAGACAAGTCCCAACCAGGGAGGGAACTTGGTTGGCAATTTCCTGGTTGGGACTTGTCTTACTTTGCCAAATTTGGGATTTTTGTGGGTATTCTTTAAGTACCCTAAAATATCCGATATTGGGAATCTGTTATTTTTTCCTGTGTTGATGGTTAAGAAATGATGCAAAAACAACATTATTTTAACACCGATCATATAAGGTTAATGAACTTTAATGAACGGTACTCGACACTTTAGTGCTGTTATTTGCCACTTGTTATACCACCGATTTTAAACTACCATGCAAATACTTAAGCTTATTATATGTTTTTAGAACCAAGAGGACGTCAAAAGGAGCCTGGATTCCCTGTGGTTGGTAGGGTTTTGAACTGCCCGGACCACATCAATGTCCCCGCTCAGCTCTACAAAAACTCTGAGCAAGCCAAAGCTGTGATCAACCAACTAAACAGACTCAAACAAGAGAAATATCGAAAACTCTGTCAGTTACTATGTCTTGAGGTCACTAAGATAAATTAAGCCAATGTTTTATAAAGGTCCCCGAACCCCCGGGGGGGCACTTGGGTATTTTTTGGGTGGGTATGTGCCGCCCGCGACTCCAACTTGGCACCCCGTTGTAAAAAACGCCTCTGAAATGGATACCCCGTACCCCGTTCTAAATCAGGAGCTTCAAAATCACGACCCCGTTGAGCGGCACATACCTGTATAGGTAATTTATGGGAGTACCCCCAATACCCGGGGCCCCAAACCTCGCTAGAAAACTTTCAGCTAGTATTGCGACTTACCCAACCAAAATGAGAATAAGAATGGCAGATAGAAAGTAGTTTGTTTGGTAATATATTAGATTTTTAACCATTCTGTTCTCCATCCTATCTATGTCATGAAAAGTTGGGGCAGTAAACTGAGCATCTGTAATAAAGTCCTGAAGAGAACGAACAGGAGGATGAATTGAACCGCCATTTTCCAATCGCGTGTGTCCTTTGAAAAGCCGCTGATACCCTATTTGCCATGGTGGGCTCAACAGATAGATTGCCTTGCGATTTTTCCAGCGATCCGCAAAAATAAAAATTACCGCAAACATTTTTCGCGCAAAAATTTGCTCCAGAGAAAATGTTCTCTAACTTAAACTCGCTACACAAAAATACAGTACTAAGAAATCTTGTCTGTTCAATTATTTAAAAATATGTATTTCCATTACACGTACTTATCAATGCTAGGTGTCTTGGGTATTGGCTACTTTCTGATCATCGCAAAAATTAATTCCCAGCAAGAAAAATCAATCTGTCCTAATCGCAAAAGTTAGTCTCCGCAAAACACAAAAAATTACCAATCCGCACGAATAAACTCCCGAAAAAAATTTCGTGCCACACGTTAGAGACGGTAGATCCGTTTTTAATGAGGGATCACTTGATATCCACAGATAATGTACGCGTGACCCTCGATAAAAAAATTAAACTTAAAATAAAATGATAAATGAATTAAATATAAATTAAATACACATAATTAAAAAAATTTCCACTTACAAACAATTGTTACAGAGATTATGGTCATGAAAGGTACGTTTTAAAGTTTTAGCAAAAATGTACTGATCGACTGGGCCTCTTTGACGTCTTTAGGGAGTTCGTTCGAGCTCCTAGCTGCTGAAAACGTTAAAGCATTTTTGGCCATACTAGTCGTAACTTTTGGTAGTATCAAAGTATGCTTTGCCCTTCTCGTGCCCGCACTATGAATACCAGCCGCAGGCTACCCACGTGAGAACTGGGAGCGCGAAAGCCTGCGTAGCTGGCGGTTTTTTGGTGTTTTTTTTTTCTCTTTTTCCATTGGTGAGAAATAGCCACACAACAGCTGTCCAACCTCTCTGGTTCACAAAGTAAGAGTTACAGCCGCGCGGAAGCTGAATCGAAGTCGAAAAAAGACCCATCGTTTTCTGTTTTGACCTCGCTTCAGCATTCAAGCCGCTCTCATTATTAATTTGCAAACCACAAAGAAAAAAAAAAATTACACCAAGAAAACCAATCTCGACCCCAGACCCGTAAGCACTGCGGTCGAGAATGCAAAAAAACCCTCCAGGTTAACCTCCAGGTACGCAGCGTGAATACGTATTACGCAGGATGGTAAAGCGTCCCGTCATGCAATGCGGTCAAACTGAATTATCACTAAATAGGTCATACACAATTAACATGTCAGTAATGACTTTTAGCCACTTCACAAAGTACCGATTCTTCTTCTCAGAAGAGCCCTTTAAGTAAATGGTTAATCATTATTGAGAGTGCCAGCTTGCTAGAACTACGCCGAATGGTCCTCTTTAAAGCTAAATTAGAAGTGGTTCTAAAATGATTATTATAAATGACAAAATTATTGTAAATTGTAGTGTGGATAATTTAAAGGGAATTCATTATTTTAAATCAGTTTCAAGTGAAATGCAAGTGTTTTATATTTGAAATTATTTACCACTGTTTTGTAATCTCGTTAGTATTCAGGGTAATAACCAAACATTTTGGTATTTAAAATCCCATTTGGAGAGACCAGGATCACCAAGTAAAAAGTCTTGATTATATTAAACAATTTCATGTTATTAGCGCCAGGGGAAATATGTAAATCCAGACATACTATTTTTCCTATGAGGCTTAAACATGATGCTCATGGTGTTTTCTTACCAATGTATTTCTGTTTCATGGCTGTGCTACTTGTCAAATACAAGGGTTGTATGCCACAAAAATACTGTAAGTGTTCTATTTTGCCAGTAGAATTAGAGCGTGTGATTTCTGTGTTCCAGCTGATTCTCCCTGAGTGTATGAAACTGCTTCCTCTTTACACAAATTGTATTTTAAAGAATGACATTCTTTTAGGAGGTGAGTGCAATGATGTGAGATATTTGTTCAGTAATCTATTAATACACTCCTAGTTTTTCTTTAATATGGCAGAGGATATAGCAATAAAACTACAGAGAAGCTAGTCCACCATGAAAATAACTATTGTTTTTATACCTTCCAGTTCAGGCACATTTACTAATAATTGGATGAAAACGTTTTATATGCTATGTGTGATGAAGAAAACTCGCTTACTCCTTAGGTTGCCAGTTGTACCAAGCAAGTACATATTTTTTCCACCTTTGTCAGTTGTCTTTTGCTTGGGAAAAAACTGGCTGTTTCCTTCGCGGTCAGATGCTTAGTGTTAAGTCGGGTTCTCTCTTTAATGGTCTATGTTGCATAGTTAAGTTCTTTAAGAATTCTTTAGCATTTTTCTTTATTACCAAAAGAAAGCAACATTTTTCTAGAGTGAAACTATATTGTTTGTAGATTTCACACATAGGTTCTATTTTTTATAAAGGATTTTAGGATGAGATATTTTTGCAAGTTTGTTGATTGTCATTGTTAGAAAGGAAAGAGTTACCATGACTTTATTATTGTTGTACAATTAAGGTTCAGAGATGAGTTCTGATGACCGGAGCTGGTTGATGAAATCAGTAATGTCTATGGACCAGGCAGCCTCTGTGCATTACTTCTATCCACGACTTTTTCCAATGGTATGGATCATCCCTTGTCCATTTAGAGCACTCGATTGAGGGGGCATTCTGGTTGTTATTTTGTAGAAAATGGGTTTGATTTGAGAAGAAAAGGAATAGAGTACAAAAAGTTACTCACAAACCATAGTCCGCTAATTAGCTCAGAGGCACCTTATTTTGGTTGTGGACCATCTAGTATTTGTTTTCTAATTATTCCCTTTATATTTTAATTTTCAGCAACCCCCAAATTCAATATGTTCCAATTTCCCATAATTTTAAACATTCCCCTTCCAATTTGCATTCTTCAAAAATATTCGAAAAATCATCCAAAAATTCTCACACATTTATTAAATCCATGATTTAGACCTTATGGAGCCATTTTTGACTGAATGAAATCTTGGCTAGATTTGTAAGAAAGAGGGCAGAAGTAAATAGAAAAAACAAGGCTTTTGACACGAATACCCCCTTAAGCTTTGCCCAGAAACATGCACAACTTCCAAAGGCTGACTTATTTTCAGATGCTTAGTTCACTCAAGTAGCCAGATAGCTAATACACCAAAACATATTTAAGGTCCACAGTGCTTTCTTGAAGCAATGAAATGGTGTAAAAAAACCTGAAACCTGTCGATGAAGGGAGGGGGTGGGGCTAAGATACCTATTACTTTTGTTGCATTATAATAAACCTGTGCATACTTGTTATATTTGTGGTAGTGCAGGCATCCATAATGCTACAGTGATGATGATTACCCAGACAGTTACACTCACTGTCAACAATAATGATCTGACTTTGAGACTATATGAGTTCGGGTAACATGTGCTAAACTGCTCATTTATCATAGTTTATATTGTGAAAATGTTCGTATACTATTGCTGTATGACTATTGCGACTTTTTAAGTTTTTGGTGCTGATAAAAGCAAATTTTTGGTTGTCTACAAAATGACCATGGTAGTGAAAATGTCACTAACTGCGAACGTGGTTACCAACATTATGATGTTTCCACGGCAGAATGAAAAGAATTTGTTCGTGTCTATTTTTGAAGTTTAGATCGTACATATTTAAGGTAAACGACGTGGGTTAACAAGCAGAAATTAGTATTTTTTGTACATCTTGACAGTAAGGTTTCTTTCTGAGCTGAATTTTCCAATCATTCTCTTTCAGCATGATTTGGATGAGGACTCTACTGATCTACCACAAGTCATAAGATGCTCGGCTGATCGAATGTCAGAGAATGGTGTTTACCTATTAGGCCAAGTTAATGATACTCGTTGCAAATCATCCTTGGACCTGTATAAACTTCTCTTGCCCACAGACGTTTCTTTCTTTTTATCTTTCTTTTTCTTTTCAAAGAATTTTGTGAGCATACGAGAGTGAGCATGGAGCGTGCTAACCTTAAGTTTTCTCATTTACCCAGCCCCATCCCCTTGCGCTAGAAATCATTAGAATTTCCCGCGGTTTTTATTCTGATACGCGCGCTGAAGGATCCCTAATGAGAAAGTAGAGTGTCTGTGAACAAGCTGGTGTAAACTAAGTTACATTCAATTATGTAACTAAAAGATTGACTTAACCCACAGTTCAAGTGTTTGCTCTGCTTTGTCAGTCCTTTTGATTTATTCGAGTCATCATTATTGGCAAGATGCTGTCAGCTTGGTTCACCAATGAATTATTTCTTAGTCCAGCCTTAACGTTAATTCTGTGATTTAAGAAATCCCTTTGTTTTTGTTGTAATTATTATAATTAACAGAAAATGGAATTTCACTGTTCCTGTGGATTGGTCTTCAAGTTGACCCCAGCTGGTTGCACAAAGTGTTTGGAGTCCAGACTATTGGCCAAGTGGACATTGAAATGGTACAGTTTTGTGTTTCTTCTCATTGATGTCAATGGAACGTGAACTGAACGTTTTCGCTTGTCCAATTTTGTAGTTCTCGCATTTGATTTTTCCAGCTTAGACTGCTAGCAGCTACTTAAGATTGTCACAAGGACAAGAATTTAGCCTGAGTATCAGGCTGTGTTTAGCGGGGGTAGAGGATAGGGAACCGAGAATTAAAAAGGAAAGGAATCCCTCCCTGGTTGGTGCTTTGAATCCCCTCTCCCTTAACCCTTAAGGATGGTACCATACTCGGGTTAGCGAGCATGTTATGTGAAAGCAAATGAGGCAAACGTTTCCTTCCCCTCTAGTTTTGCCAAGTCTTGACTCAACTTTATGAAAAGGGACTGCTTCAATGTTATTTTTTTCTGCAACTTTTAATAGAATTATTTGGGTTATTTTTTTAATTAGTATTTTTTACAATTTCACATGTACAGATCATCTTATGTTGTAATTTTTGTCGCAGTAACTTGTCGTTTTTCTCTTTGCAGACCTCTC